ACAACAGACTGACGAAAGTTGAAACTGGAGCAGGTATTTTTCGAATTTGAAGGAAAATAATGAAAAAAGTTATTGGAGAATCGATGAAGCTAGTAGGTATCCGGGGATTTCATAATTTGTATTTGGAGAGCATTGAGTGATATAAGCGTTTTGGCGAGATTTAGGGATGAATAACAGTTGTGTGATTGAATCTGGTATAAAAAAAGAACAGGAACCTCCTAATTTTATGGGATTGATTTTGATTTTGTTTCAAATTATATGCAGAAAATCAGGAACTCACTTAATAGAGGTGCACATAACAGATTAATGGTAAAGGAGCATAAGAAAGCACAAGGGTAGTTTAGGAACTTCAGTTGAAGATAGAAGGTGTTGAACAGATGCCACGTGGCTTAATAGGTACTGTTTTATTAAAGTAGGGGATATATATATATATATATATATATATATATATGTGTGTGTGTGTGTGTGTGTGGGGTCATTGTCAAAACAATTATTTCAAAATCATTAATCGGTCATTGTATTAAAAGGAAATAGAAAATCCAAAGGATAGTTCTCTAGATAACTAATGGTCGTGATACGCATAACAGAAATACACAAAAGTCATAATAGCATGTCGTTGTGTTAAGAAAGACAACGCCCACAAGATCAAGAAGAGTAAACTAACATATTTTATACATGTATATAAAAAAAAATTAAAAAAAATCCAATCAAAGTTGTCTGATAACAGATTCGAGTTGGCTCTGATACCGATTGTTGGTTATTTTCATAACTAAATCATAAAACGCAGAAACATAACTTTGGATCTTTAGTTTTGAATATGGTTTAAAGAAAACTTAAACAAGAATGAATGATTCATACCTGATTTCATTATGATCTTCGAATCTGAAGAACTAGATTGAATTTTCCAATTGATCTCAAGACTACCTCTAAAACCCTCAGCAATAAAGAAAATGAATTTTTTCTATTATATTCATATGCCCATCATCACATGTATATATAGATGGAGATATACCATAATGTGAGAGATGAAATTGATCTTGAGGATCTTGAGTCAAACCGGGAACTCAATCCACAACGTAAGTAAATATTTTATAAATCGGTCCATCAACAGTTTATATTCTTATCATACTAACTGGATTTAATGATAACAATTTATATTCTATGGAAAACAAGAAAAATCATAAAAATACTTAAACATCACAAATCTTTTTTTGATTTTATATTATGAATTTTCGCAACTTTTTATGTATTTTCGCCGAATTTGTTTTTGAAAAAAAACCCCAAAAAAATTGATTTTTAATTTTTTTGAACGAATTTCTAAAAAAACCAGCGATTTTTTGGTATATAAATTCAAAAAAAAAAAAAAAAAAAAAAAAAGATTTGTGATGTCTATGTATTTTTTTTATGCATTTTTATGATTTTTAGGGTTTTTTGTTTTTCATATAACCCTTCCCTATATATATATATATATATATATATATATATATATATATATATATATATATATATATATATATATATATATATATATATAATATATATATATATATATATATATATGATGTGGTCCATAATTATCTAACACATTCCTCCATAGAAGACATACTCATTCTTTTTCATCAATGCTTCCACTTCTGCACACAATTTAGTTTTCAGTTTTCACAGCTGAACAAGAACAATCGATGCTAACATGTTATAAGGACAACCATGTGAGGTCCCGGTTGTTCCTCTAAATTCATGCAACTAACCAAGTAATGAGATGGTTTGTAGAGTTTTTTATAACCCCCTGAAGAAAAAATTAAAATATATATATATATATATATATATATATATATATATGTATATATATATATAATATATATATATATATATATATATATATATTAATATATATATATATATATATTCGTTATCAAGTGAGTTGTGTAAATTTGGAACTGATTATAAGAATAAAGATCATTTTACATAACATTTCATCTGCAAGAATTCCGTTATATAGTCTTATCATCCAATTTAACTCATCAAGTTGATAATCTCTCATCTTCTTTGTTATGCCTGTTGAATGTTTAACATAACCCAAAGTCATAATTCAGAGACTAGCTTGAACATTTTGAAGTTAAATTATAAAAGTAAGTTAGCTGATAGGATGAAAAACACTTCAAGGTTATAAAATAAGCACTACAAGAAATACCCTTTAGCGGCGACACTATTAGCGGCGACTATTGGCTTTACGGCGACTTTAGCTAAAGTCGCCGGTAAAGCCAATAGTCGCCGCTAATAGTGTCGCCGCTAAAGGGTTGACACCGAATCCGCACTTTCCCCCTACATCGCATCTCAACCGTTCGATGCGATATCCAATCCAACGGGTGGGGTGCCTTATCCGGTCTAACCTAATACCGGCGACACGCATGTCGCCACTAAAACTCTAAAAAAGTCGCCGCTAATTGTCTGCTAAAAATGACGCGGTACCCTTCCCTCCAGTTTGTCGCCGCTATTAATAATAGTCGCCGGTATTGATCCTCGCGTCGCCGCTAAAGGTGTCGCCGCTATTGATTGACCCAGCTAAAAAAAAAAAACGCACGCAGATTACAGTCCTTCTTCATTTCCCTTTCTGTTTGCTTCGAGTTCCTTCACCATTTTTCCGATTTCTTCTTCAATCAGCTTCTTTCAAGCAAATTTCTTCCTCATTGTTCCAAGCAAGTGTCCCTAGGTGTGGTTAAAGCTTTGGGATCAATTTCTACCTCCATTTCTTGAAAAAGGTAAGTTTTATTTTGATGATTTCATTTTTGTGTTGTATGAATGATAATAAATTGCTCATGTTCTCTATTTGGTGGTGGTTGTTTTGGGTTAGAAGCATTGTTCCAAGCAAGTGGTTAAAGCTTTGGGATCAATTTCATTTGTTGAAGAAAGGTATGTTTTTTTTTATGATTTCTTTTTTATTTTGTATGAATTTTGATTTGTAGCTTTATGTAGTGATTGAATGATAATAAATTGTTCAAATGTTTGTTTTTGGTGTATTGTTTTGGATTAGAAGCAAGTTATTCAATTTTTTGTTTGTGGTTATTTAATTGCAATTAGTTGTATAGCTTCAAGTTGTATTTATATGTGAATTATGTGATAATTGTCATATGTGAAAATTGGATTGTATATTTTGTATTTGTTTGAATATAGTGAATTTGGTATATATATTCCAATGTATGTGTGTTTGATGTTATGTGGTATATTAGTAGAAGTTATATGTATTTGTTATAAGTAGAATGTTATTGTGTATGTGAATGTATGTATGTTTGTTGTAAATGTGATATATAATTGTGAAACTTTTGTATTTGGTATAAAAGGATGTTATTATGTATATATGTGAAATTATGTGTATTTGGTTTAAATAGGATGTTATTTTGTGTGTATTTGTATTTGATGTATATGTGGTATATGTATGTAAAAGTATGTGAATTTTCACCTTCTTATGTATTATGTAAAACTATGTGGTTTTGGTATAAGTAGGATGCTATAATTGAAATAAAAAAAATATACATTATTTTTATAAATTGTAAAAAAAAACACAAAAAAACTATAAAATTGTTTAAAAACTTATATACAAAAACTAGAAAGCTTCTAGTTTTTACCCAAGCTAACTCCAAATTAATTAACCAATAAGTTATATAGTTAACTTATAATTGGAAAAAAAATACAAAAATAATTATAAAATTCTTTAAAAACTTATATATATTTAATCTCGACGGTAAAAAAACAACACAACAACATAATACGTATGTAAAAGTATGTCGTTTTCTTATAAGTAGGATGCTATAATTGAAAAAAAAATACATTATTTTTATAAATTGTAAAAAAAAAACACAAAAAAAAACTATAAAATTGTTTAAAAACTTATATACAAAAAACTAGAAAGCTTCTAGTTTTTACCCAAGCTAACTCCAATTAATTAACCAATAAGTTATATAGTTAACTTATAATTGGAAAAAAAAAAAACACAAAAAAAATTATAAAATCTTTAAAAACTTATATACATTTTAATTGGAAAAAAAAAATACATTATTTTTATAAATTGAAAAAAACACAAAAAAAATATAAAATTGTTTAAAAACTTAGCTTCTAGTTTTTACCCAAGCTAACTCCAAATTAATTAACCAATAAGTTATATAGTTAACTTATAATTGGAAAAAAAAACACAAAAAAAATTATAAAATCTTTAAAAACTTATATAATTTTAATTGAAAAAAAAATACATTATTTTTATAAATTGAAAAAAAAAAAACACAAAAAAAAACTATAAAATTGTTTAAAACTTATATACAAAAACTAGAAAGCTTTTAGTTTTTACCCAAGCTAACTTACAAGTAATTTTAATTAAATTAATTAAAAAAATGCATAAATAAAAATTTTTAATTTATTTTTTTCATTTCTTTATTACTTAATTTTTGTATTATTTTAGATGTAAAAAAATGTGGATTGAAAAAAAACAATGCTAATTCGGTATACTAAACTCTAACCCAAAATTATGTTTCAGCAACATCATGTCTATTGATAAAGCTGGACTACTAATCCATATCGAAACCATCCCGAGTTCCAAGCAGGACTCAAAGCTTTTATTGAGAAGTCGAAGTTGCACGTTGATAGTAATGGTAAAATCAGATGTGCGTGTGAAAAATGTGATAACCGTTACTTCAAGTACCCGACTGTAGTTGAACGCCATAATTTATAAATGGTTTCAGTAAGGCGTACAAAATTTGGATCTATCATGGTGAATCTTTTATTCCTCCCGTCGTCTTGCCAAGTAACGAAATGGCCGATTTAATCGACGATGTGATGTGGGAGTCGAGAGAAAATGATA